AGGACTGCAGAGCCCATCGTAATATGTAAAAACTGTCCATTTGCGTCTTTATTTTTGGCCTGTCCATTTTGATTATGCAAATAATGATTTACAGGAAAACAGTGAATCATTTTAAAAAAACTGAAATTGAATTATGCAAGTTACACCTGCTCCTTAGTTCTTGAGCAACTATTTAATGCTTTGTTTTGTTTTTCCCTCTGATGGAATTAACTTTGGTGCTGCAACATGAACTCTGTCACCACAACCGCTTGTGATGAAATAGCATTAAGAACAAGGAGAAATAGTTTCATATTTGGCTGTTTACCAAAACAAGGAGATTTATAAGATGAGAATTTTAAACCTGAGAGGAGGTGACTAATTGATGCTGTAGGTGTCAAAACACAAAAAAGTTTTATAATCTTCCGTTTTATACAATGACGTGCGCTGTATTTTTTTCTTATTTTACTTAACTTGGTGTGTCTTTTCTTCCTCCATAACCATACAACTGACTTATGGTTGAATTGATGCACTTATACTAAAGCTGTATTTGTAGCACACTCTTATTCATGACTCCTAAGAACTAGGGATTTTAGAGAAATCTATCACAAATTTAGCATGATCTGTCAAAACAGTAGCATGATCTGTCAAAACAAAATACATCAATGCCCAGATGTACACAATTTATGGGGCCTACAACTGCTACTCCTGAAAGATTTTCCAACTCAAAACATGAAATACCAAAAAAAAAATAGTTATATCAAGAGAATATCATAATGAGATATATTGATGGAAAATGTATACTTTTGACAAAGTTATATGCAAAAATACCTATATTCAGGGAAAGCCGCATGTATTGTTTTTAAAAGCAAATCATTAGATACATTGCATAAATTTCCTTATACGGGTAGCTCTCATCTTACGACTGGTTGCTTAGTGATTGTTCAAAGTTAAAATGGATCAGTGGTGAAATCCAATTTTTTTTACTACCGGTTCTGTGGGTGTGGCTTGGTGGGCATGGTGTGGCTTGGTGGGTGTGGCAGGAGAAGGATACTGCAAAATCTCCATTCCCACCCCACTCTGGGGCCAGCCAAAGGTGGTATTTGCCGGTTCTCCGAACTGCTCAAAATTTCTGCTACCGGTTCTCCAGAACCTGTCAGAACCTGCTGGATTTCACCCATGCAATTGACCTCCCCAGGAATATTTATGAGTTCCAATCCCATCCCCACAGTCACGAGTTCATATTTTGGGCACTCGGCAAGTGGCCCATATTTATAGTCGTTTACAATGTTTGTGGTCATATAATCCCATTTTACAATGTTTTTGCCAAAAACCAGTATCTATTTCTGGTTTGGGAAAAACTGGCCCATAGGGAACAATTGGTTTGCTTAATGACCACAGCATTTGCTTAATAACTGCCACAAAAAGTTTGTCACATCGGGTTAGTCACATGGGTGACCCACTTTATGGCCTTCACAATTTATAGTCCTAATGGGCAGGGTCCATTACCATCATAAGATGGGGATGTAGGAAAAATCTGATTATCATATGCATCAGGGGTGAAATGCTACCAGTTCGGACAGGTTCTCCCGAACTGGTATTTAAAAATGCTACTGGTTTGGGCAAACCGGTATTTCCGACGATTAGCTAGGCAATGCTCAGCTGTGATGTGTGATTTATATTAGCTAGAATCATTGGATTTCCTGCTTTCTTAATCATGTGGCACAAGCGGATTCCCTCCATCCCCTGCTGTTCTACTTATCTTTGCAGACTTGGAAGGTTTCAAAATGTTCTTTTTTTAGTGCTGTGCGGGCATGCCTCAGGTGCGCATGCGCACACGAAGTGCGCACTCAGTAGAAGACTCACAGAACCGGTAGCAGACTTCAGAGGATTTCACCACTGATATGCATGTTTTGTCCACTTTGCATGTATAAGATGCATACAAGATATGCTTGTAAGGAGAGATACTTGGTGTTGTGGCCCGCCAGCAGCCTGCGCGGATCGTGGCTGATCCCAACGATGAGGAGGCTGGTGTGGTGTAGCGCCAGCAGCCTGCGCAGCTGGCGCTCATGTCGGACAGCGAGGAGGCTGAAGAGGATGTGGTGCCAGAGGCAGAGACTCAGCCAGGGCCTTCAGAACCTCCAGAGGCTCCTTCAAGTGGAGAGAGTGAAGTGGAGGAGCCTCTTCTCAATGCTCGAGTGCACAGGGCTGCCAAAAGGCAGGAGTGGCTACTCAGGAGGTCTCCTCGAGAGTAAGGCTTGGGGATAATTGGCCACTCCCTTAGCCTATTTAAGTCACACACCGTTAGTAAGTTTCTTGCTAGAAACAACTTGTAATTATCATCAGAGCATTTTTGGAAAAGTCTTATCTTGCTTTCTGGGCTGGTTGCCAACCTTTGCCAGACTTTGGTTTATTCCTGCTACTTAATAAATTTGATAAGGACCGTTGGTGTGTGTCTATATCCTCGGGAATCCGGAGCTGGGGAAGAACACTTGGTTGGAAATGCTGGAGATTGAAACTAGCAAGACTATGATAACCTTGGAAAGTAGATTTAATAGGTTAATAATTAAATATATACAGGAGACATGAGCCCTTTATCCCAACAAATATCTCACTACGCTATAAATTATGCAGTGTCAGCCACTTTTTTCTGCTCTGCACCTACGTTGTCTTACTCTTATTCTAGTCATCCTCAGTTGTTCTTAAAGTAGTATTTACCATTTATTCCAGCATTGTTCAATGACAGCCTCAAGGCATATGAAATCTGTTAGTGTTTATTACTCTCAGGGCTACAGGGAAGTCAGGGAAGTGCAATGCTTAGGAACAGAGAATCAGGATATAGATTGACAATGTGAATAGCCGATTATGTGCCAGCATTGGGAATCGAAGGAGCAGTTGTGAAAAACAACCCAACTGATTGTCTCACCCTCTTAAAGGTTAGTCTCATTGGACTCAGTGTGGGTATATATATGATACATAATTTGTCAAGCATATATAAGATAACAGGTAAAAGTATAAACATCATTCGAATACATGAAAAGAGTAAGTAAAAAGGAATATTAGGACAGGGACGGTAGGCACGCTGGTGCACTTATGCATGCCCCTTAAAACAGATACAGAATAACAGAGCTGAAAGGGACCTTGGACGTCATCTAGTCCAACCCCCTGCTCATGCAGGAGACCTATACTAGGGATTCGAACCACCGAACTGCCGACCTTTCTGATCGACAAGCTCAGGGTCTTAGCCACTGAGCCACCTAGCCATAAATAATAAATAAATAATAAATAAATAAATTCTTATTTATTGCTGTGTTCCGGACATAGAGTTTAGTTGATAGAGGTAAACTAGTTGTCTTTTTTAATAATGCATCACTAAGAAGGTAGCCCACTAGATCAGGGGTCTCCAACCTTGGCAACTTGAAGACTTGTGGACTTCAACTCCCAGAGTTCCTCAGCCAGCTTTGCTCTGGGAGTTGAAGTCAACAAGTCCTAAAGTTGCCAAGGTTGGAGACTCCTGCACTAGAGGACAGGCAGCCTACCCTTATTGATAGATGAACATTTCCAAAATAAAGTCAACATAATATTTTAAAAAATCCTTTATAAACTGATGGAACAAGTCCTTTCAGGCTTTGGGAATTTATGCTTTTTTCTATACTCTGCCTCCTTTCTATTCTAAATGAAATTCGGTTTAATTTTTCTCATCTCAGACAGAGAGGTATGTGTCATCATTATAACTAAATCTTCTCCATTTTGCCATTTTCGATTTGACAGTTCCAATAAGTTTATTTAATCTAACAGAGGAGGTATTTAAAGATATCTTACACTGCTGTCTTGACCTGCAGGTGATGTTTATTGCCATGTGAAGAAGGCCTTTAAATCAGTTGTGAAATCCAAATTTTTGTACTACTGGTTCTGTGGGCATGGCTTGGTGGGCATGGTGTGGCTTGGTGGGGGTGGCAGGGGAAGGATACTGCAAAATCCCCATTCCCTCCCCACTCCAGGGGGAAGGATATTGCAAAATCTCCATTCCCACTCCACTCTGGGGCCAGCCAGAAGTGGTATTTGCCAGTTCTCTGAACTACTCAAAATTTCCGCTACTGGTTCCCCTAACTGCTCAAAATTTCCGCTACCAGTTCTCCAGAACCTGTCAGAACCTGCTGGATTTCAGCCCTGCTTTAAATACAAAACTTAATTGATAGATTGATTGCAATCAGTAACATATTTAAGCCTGGATGATAATGGGAAACTTTGTTTACGTATAGTGCTATTAATTGGGCAAGTAGTCTATATACAAACAAAAGTTGGTTTATAGCCGTTAACCAGCAAAGTTTTTATTAATCATCATCTCTTGGTTAAACCTAGCTCAGATCGTTGCTATTATAACAATCACAATGGATGAGAAAATACATTGGTTTACCTATGTGTCTCCATAATGAGCAATAATAGGAAAGGTGGAATAATAATAACAATGGGTAAAGCCATTTTCATTGTGAGTTCTAACCATGCAGTCTTTTGGTAGCAAAAGTCTTTGTTGCTTCAAATGTCTTTGTTGTATGAAGAAATCAGTGATAGTTATAGAGTATGAAAATTTTAATTCAGTTTACATTTCAGAAAGTATGCTTCCTAGCCCAATTTCTACACTGGCACAAGGTTATCCTTCAATATTTACTTTTCTGGAATACGGTGCTGCAACTCTCTAAGCCACCATTTATTGTTGTTGTTTTGTATGACTTAGTTTGTTCAGAAACTTGATATACAGTATACTATCTTGCATTTGGGCTGAATAAAAATATATATTTTTTCTTTATGATTGGTAAAAGGAAAATATTATAAAAGAACATGATATTAAAGAATGACTAATTTCAAAAATAAGTAAGGGAACCATCTCTCACACCAAAATATGTGTATTAGGAAAACTTTGCATCAGCTTTTGTGCTGTTTTTGGGTGGAAGATAATGGGAGCCAATTCAGAGTTCCAATGGAACAAATCTCAGTTACAGAAAATGAGAAAACAAAAGTGACCCTTTCAAAGTGAAATCTCTATTTATTTTATTTTTTTGACAAGAGACAGTGTCCTTAGCCAAATGATCTCATGGGACATCCTCCTTGCCATCATCACTTTCAATTAATTAAATAAGTGACACAGTGAATCATCCATTTCTTCAGGATGGAAACCCCAGAGGTAGGAAAATATAATAGCAATAGTCTTTATCTACTTCCTGATCCTGGAAATATACAAGCAGTATGAGAAGTAGTCATTGATAGTCCTCTGTGCATAATTTGCCTAGTTCTTTTAAAGTCATTTAATGTAATGGCCATCATCTCATGTTGTGGCGGAGAATTTCCAAGGATTGTTCTGTCAATTAGTTTTACTAGATATTCCCAGAGTCTGATACTATGAGAAAGGTTGCATTATGTTTCTCTTTTCAAGTTCTCCATTTAATTGTTTCCTCTTCTCATTCCTTCATTCTCCAGCCTTCCCAATGGCTGATTTGAAGATTTCTGCTTCATCTCTTCACATAGGACACTGCTGTGAGGGATAACATGAATATTGTATGGTAAGGACAAAAATTGAAATATAACCAAGATCTATGTGTGGCAGCTTTATATTGTACAACACACATATATTCAGATACTGCAATCATCTCATATCCAGGTCCCATACAGATAACAAGGGATATATAAGTTGACCTTTGCTGACCAGCTTGATCACAGAAGTATGAGTGATCTCTGGAATTAATAAAATAAGAACCTGCTCCAAAATTATTTTACCATGGGCTAGTTGTATTTCTGAAATAAAATGTTTATTTATTCTTTAATAACTTTGGCTATACTCCACAATTTGCAGGATTGCATGCCAGTTGAGAGCACTGCATTCACATCTGTATGTATCTTCTTCATGATAGAAGTCAATAGAAACTTTTTAAACATAGTGGGTGAAACCAAGTACGTTCCCATCTTAAAAGAACCTCCTACACATTGCTCCATCCCCTCTTTACTCCCCCTGCCTGTCAAGTCAACATTATTTAGTTGCCTTTGTAATACAAATGTAGCAACACCATGAAAAGATAACAATCTTATCCAAAGAGGGTTGAATACTCAACATGTTTCAACAACGGCACTCTAAAGAATGTATTTTTTTCAAACAGGTGCTTAGACCTATTAACAGGTGTAAGCAATAGGTTTACAGATTTCATCAACCCTGTCATTTGAAGGAGCTAAAAGCAGGGTTTTTGAGATTCTCAGCTGGCACAAAATACTTCCAGTAAGTTAGTCCTTGCTTTGTTACAGTCCTCAATGTTCTGCAAAATATTTAGTCCTACAGCTTCCATCTCATCCGATGGCTATAAAAAGCGTATTTGTCACTAGCTTCTTTACACTTAATAACATTTTCTCAGTAGATTTGAGAAAATGTATTTGATTCCCAGTGGCCAACTCAAGTGTCACAACAATGATTTTTGGAACACATAGCCACCGGTTTGTTCTAGATCAGTGTTTCTCAACCTTTCTGGTTTTAAAATGTGTGGACTTCAACTCCCAGAATTCCTCAGCAAATGATGCTGGCTGGGGAATTCTGGGATTTGAAGTCCACACATCTTAAATTTGCTGTGGTTGAAAAACACTGTCCTAGACTAATAATGGCACACTCCTTTGGGAATGGAAAGCAACAAGGAGCCAGAAGCATTAGGAGAAGCAATCACTGCAGTTACTGGGTCCTCAATAAAAACAAAAATTAAATACTTGCCAATTCATTTAGTGCTGGGCACAGAATTCTTCATAGGGTATGGTAGTCTTCCTGTATTTTTAAGTTCTAAAGTGGCAAGATGTGGTAGTAAAAAATTTGTCATTCATCGTGCTATCATGTCTCCATCAATCTGCACACTTCAAATAAATTCCCAAGGAAAATCTCATACAGGAACTCCTGCTATGGTCTTCTTGCAGGAAAGATGCTATTGTCTCCCTTTAGGGTTGAAGAATTTCTCTTGCCCCTTCAGAAACTCAAAAATTCTGCCAACTTTGGGGTGATGAATTCCCAAAACATGTTTTGGGTTCCAACTCTAGTTTTGTTAGTGTTCATAAATGATCAGGTCATTGGCATTGTGTTGCATGGGCAGGCATATTTTTGCCCACTGTGGCACCATGGATGGTGTTATAGCCTTAAGTATCCTAGCATTCGGACCACCAACCAAGTTTGTCACCTGAGCCAAACAACAATAATACAAGAAAGATTTGCAATTGTCTTGAGGATAAAGAATCCATGGTGAAATCTTGTCTGTTCCTTTCGCTTTCTCAAACTGTCAAATTTGTCACTCAGTCTAATTTATATCCTCACCTTTCCAGCAAGTCAGCCCATGGGAGATTACAAAATGACATGAACAGCATTAACTAATTACAACTTTTCATAAAATAGCATTAAATTAAATAATAAAATAATAATCATACATGCATACATGAATTCCAAACCAGGCATTATTGCACAATATTGGTCCCATGATCAAGAAGACCTTGGGCCATGTTGCTTCCAAGACTTTTGCTTCTAGGCAAATTTCATCATAGATTTATGGAAGAAAAACACAAAATGGGGAAGTCCATAATTTAGGCAGGCAAGAGACAAAGTCATTGAAAGTCAGGCAGATTACAAGTTTAATTAATAATTATTATACTAATAATCCAAGCTATAAAAAGGTTCATCAGTTTAAGCAAGCTGTTTGGAATTTTGATCAGAGAAAAGCAAGTTCAACTAATCCAGGGCAAATCAAACATTCTCCCAAAGAAGCATTAGATTACTTCATTTTTGGACCTACTGCAATTTTGGTGTTTCTTTAAAAGGCAACCACACATAAAGTGCCTCATAGTATTCTATTCAGAAGAAAGTAGCATAGAGTCTTACCTAGGAAGAACTGAAGTTGGCAAATTAAAGACAGATGCAGACAAGAGGCTGGTTGCCACCAAACTCACCATCACATTAAGGAGGCCCTCAGAACTTGTGGCTATCCCAATTTGGCTTTACCAAATCCAGAACAAGTTCCAGCAAGAGCTCCTCAACAACAGACAAGAGAACAACAAATGACGCAACATTGTCATTCCATATGTTGTAGGAGTTATCTGAAAAGCTCAGAAGGATTTTCAATTAACACAACATAATGCACACTTTAAACTCAAGAAGACTTTAAGGCAGAAACTTGTCCACCCCAAGGATAAAACACCCAGATACATACTGACAGTGATAAAATCCAAATTTTTTTACTACCGATTCTGTGGGCGTGGCTTGGTGGGATATGGTGTGGCTTGGTGGGCATGGCTTGGTGGTGTGGCAGGGGAAGGATACTGCAAAATCCCCATTCCCTCCCCAGTCCTGGGGGAAGGATATCGCAAAATCTCCATTCCCACCCCACTCTGGGGCCAGCCAGAGGTGGCATTTGCCAGTTCTTCGAACTACTCCAAATTTCTGCTACCAGTTCTCCGAACTACTCAAAATTTCCGCCACTGGTTCTCCAGAACCTGTCAGAACCTGCTGGATTTCACCCCTGGTACTTTGCAAGAAGTACTTTTCTACTAGGTCTGGACACCAGACAGAAGCCATTTTGTTTTCCATCCAGAGGAAGGGAAGGAGGAGAAGGCAGCAGTAATGCAGTCAAAATGAACATGATGTAACTATGTGTCTTTGGCTAGTATCACAGAAAAACACATACACGTACAGCAAGTTAACCTGCTAAGCTAATGATAAAAGAAGGTGGTTGTGAAGCTACTGTGAGCTATCAAGGTATTGAAGGAACCACCATGTTTGAAGAAGTAGATGGAATTTTGGAGAGAAATCTGTGAGGAAGGAGCTCCAAAATACCTTTATAGGGACAAAGTATGCTCACTGAGCATGGAATGATGGCTAAAAGTGAAAGAAGGAATTATGTGACAGGACTGGCTAGTTAGAGCTCCGAGAAGTGCTGCAAAGCTTATTTGCACGTAATAATAGTAAATGAAATCCTCTGGATGCCAATATTGATGTACTAATGCAAAAGAATCCTATCCATGCACAGCCATAACTGTGGATTTTCATAATGCAACTCAGAGAATGCAAGAAAAAACATTTAAAGGAAAAGTTTGCAAAAATTTAAGACTACTTCAGAAGAAAAGTCTGAAGGAGGGTAAGGATGACAACTTGAACAGTCCATTCGAGCCTGAGGATACTCAGAGAGCGACTGAGGCGAGGGAGAGGAGAGATTGAAAATCAGAAAGCGAATGCAATGACGCATCTTGTAAAATGACATGGCTGACTCACAAGGACCCTGAACAGAAACAAAAAAAAATAATAATCACATTTTGTCTAATTTATCTCATGTTACATCATAAATTCAACTGATTAATTAAAACATTCATAGTGCAGTACACCAACTAAATATCTTGCTTGCAGTCTTCAAAAGTGCTTTCTACAACCATTTATTTATTTATTTATTTATTTATTTATTTATTTATTTATTTATTTATTTAGTTATTTAGTTATTTAGTTATTTAGTTATTTAGTTATTTAGTTATTTAGTTATTTAGTTATTTAGTTATTGGTTCGATTTATATGCCACCCTTCTCCAGAGACTCAGGACGGCTTACAATGCGTTAAGCAACAGCCTTCATACTTTTGTATATACCTGCTTAGTAGGGTTTTCGCCCCCCCTCCCCAAAAGCAGTGTTCTTTTTTATACAAAGTCAGTTTATTGCCCCCACAATCCGGGTCCTCATTTTACCTACCTTGGAAGGATGGAAGGCTGAGTCAACCTTGAGCCTAGTGAACTACTGAACTTGCAGTAATTGCAGGCAGCTGATGCTACTTAACAGCACTTTAGTCTGCTGCGCCACCAAGGCTCTCTCTTATTGGTCAAAACATCTTGTTTATTTATCTCAGAAGATTCTCAATCATCCAGGTCATGGATGTCCCAAAGGTGCTTTTCAAAAGGCAACTGGACTTTCCTGGATTTTTCTTTAAAAATATTTCATCCATTTTGAAGAAGCTTCTTGGATGAGAACTAAAACATTTCCAAAGAAAAAACCCAAGAAAATCCAGTTGCCTTTTGAAAAGCACCTTTGGGACATCTTATGTATGATTTCTAGAACTATACAATTATTGCTGCCAATTCAGGGGCCTCTTGGATATCTGCTGGAGGTCTTTGCTACTCTTTTCTGTCATATTAGATTTTTGCAACTAAACTATATTATGAACCATACTGTTTTAAAAGATGCAGGGTGATTCTAGGCCTTCAAATGGCACAAGCTCTGTTCCTTATATGGAATATGTAGTTTCACTGCCCAGGATGTTATTTTGTCAGATTATATTATTTTATTCCTCCCACAGGTAGCAGTCAATCATCCAGCAGATGAGTGATGAAACATAAAATGAGAATATCAGGCCATGGGTGAGTGAAACTGATGGATGAGAGGTTTGGGGAATGGAAGTAGAGAAGGAATGAGGTGGGTTTGAAGAAAAAAAAATGCAGCCAATTAATCAAGCCCGCCTCTTTCTACTTGGCAAACTGCCTGAGCAGTTAGCAATTAATACTTGGGGGACAGCATAATTAATTGGTTGCAAATTTTGGTAAAATTGGCAGCTGTATTTTTTTTTCAAATCAAATCAAATCAAACCTTTATTGCAGTGGTGGGTTTCTAATTTTTTTACTACGGGTTCTGTGGGCGTGGCATGGCTTGGTGGGCGTGGCTTGGTGGGTGTGGCAGGGGATGGATACGTAAAATCTCCATTCCCTCCCCAATCCAGGGGAAGGATACTGCAAAATCCCCATTTCCTCCCGATCAACTGGGACTTGGGAGGCAGAGAATAGATGGGGGTGGGGCCAGTCAGAATTTTTACTACTGGTTCTCTGAACTACTCAAAATTTCCGCTACCGGTTCTCCAGAACTGGTCAGAACCTGCTGAAACCCACCTCTGCTTTATTGTCAATGCACAACATGTGTACAGTGAAATTGAATGAGCCTCCCTTGAAACACAAAATACATCTCAATAACGCAATAAATGAAAGAAATAGAATCCCTAAACTCAAATAAATAATAACTAACACACATTACCATATACCTATATGTATGTAGCATTATATTATATTACATCGTTATGAACATGTTGCACGTTGCGCTGGCCCTGCAAGTCTATCATATTAAACCTAATTGTGGTGTTATGTTGCATTCAGAAGTCTGACAGCCCAAGATAAAAGCTATTTTTCAGCATGTTCGTTCAGCCAGCTATGCTTCTATGCAGTGGTGGAATCCTACCGGTTTAACAACCGGTAGGCTGAGCGCTGCGTGTGTGTGCGCAGTTTGCAGAAAATTGAACTTCCGCATTGCTGAGAGCAAGGAAAACAGCTGATGAGCGGCAATCCACTCTGCCGCCCCGATCAGCTGGGCTTTGGAAGCAGAAATATAAAGAAAGAGAGAACCGGTTCGCTCACAGCTGAAAGTCAGAGCTAACGGTTCGCCCGAACTGGTCTGAACCAGTAGAATCCCACCACTGCTTCTATGCTTCTATTCTCTGCTACTTCACAATTTTATATAATTTCAGCAGCCATTCTGATCCCAGACAGAGCAAATACGTGAGCGTTGTTCCTATTTTGAGCCAGTTTGGTACACTGATTAAGACAACAGGCTAGAAACCAAGAAACTGTGAGTTCTAGTCCCCTCTCAGGCATGAAAGCTGGTTGGATGACTTTGGGCCAGTCACTTTTTCACACTCCAACTCACTTCACAGGGTTGTTGTTCTGGAGAAAATAGGAGGAGGAAGGAGTATTATGTATGGTCTCCACCTTGAGTTATTTATAAAAGTAATAAAGGAAGATAAAAAATATTAAAAAATCCAGAAGTGTAGCCTGCATGTCAAGGCAATGAGAAAACCTTCCTTCTCTGCCTCACATAGGCTTACTTGCAATGTACAGGATGTCCTTGAAGGTACTCTGAACAGCTCTAGGAAGGTTTCAGGTTATTAAATCAGAATTATTGGTATGAACTAAACAACTACGTGGGGAACAGGTATCACTATCAAACCATTAGAACTATCTGTGCTACAGACCCTCTCTTAGTACATTTCGCTGAGCTGTGCCTAAGGCACTGAGAGGCTATAGTACTTTCCTAGCAGAATTTTAGATTGATTCAAGCAAGAAGCCAGGCAGGCAGGCAGGCAAGCAGAAAGGAAGCTATCATGTGAATGTAGCCTGGCAAGGCTGTAAAGTTTCCCAAAGATACAGCTTTATATTGGTACTTAAAATTAAGAGGATCCAAGGACAGCGTAAAAAGAGTAATTATACTCAACATTTAAAATACCTAGAGGTTTACTGGTAGAAGATAAAGATGATATATCGGGGGATGCCATTTGATCCAACCTTGGTTATAATTAGAGAAGACATATTGAAACAAATGGGAAGAATAAGTCTTTACTTTTATGGGTCTATTGCAGGGGTCTGCAGCCATTTGGACCTGTTTCCCACAGAAAAGAAAACACTGGGAGCCATAAAACCCTTCCAGTGCCTGACTATTTCTTGAGTGGCCACAAAACTAGCATATGTAGTTGAATTAAACTTTGTTCTCTTCTGAAACTTTTCTTTTCTTGGATTTATCCATGGTTGGCCTACCGGGGGGTTGAAAAGCTCAATAAATCGCATGCTGGCGGATGTCACACATTGGCAGTTGTGACACATATTTTGAGTGACAGGAGCCTCAGCAGAGGGGTGAAAGAGCCACATGCGGCTCCAGAGCTGCAGGTTGCTGACCCCTGGTCTACTGTAAAGGACGGTGGGCCTTCTAGTGAGTCAAATTAATTCCTTGTAACTGAAATCAGAAAGGACTCATCATTGTCTTCTTCTGAGAGATTATATGTATGTGAATATGAATATGAAAACACACACACACATGGATATATATATAGCCCTAGTCAACAGAAGAGTCCCAGGCATGAAGATTAACACTGGACCCAAGATAACACATGACACCACCACCAATCATCCTCATCAGATTCAAACTCAAACCCATCTCATAGACAAAATACAACCACCATCCAGAAGCCAGACCATGGCGGCATCACCAGCTGCTGACCCCCCTCTGATCCCCACACAAAGCAAACTGACACATGCCATGAACACATGGCAAGACCGCAAACTCGGAGCAAAACCAAAGCCCGGGATGTGGCATCACAGCCATCTGCTCAGGACATTACATCAAAAAACTCAGGATATCACAACACTAGAACTCAGAATGTTAACACACAGCCCATTACCCAGGTCGTTAAAACACAAAAGACTAATGGGCACACATCAAGGACATCACCCACACAGGCTGTTACGAAACAGCCGACTAATCTGTAAACATCAACTCCATCAACTAATCAAGATGTAATGACACAGGCAACCAACCTGCTCACAGCAACAAAGCCAGCACCCCACACCTCCCTACCAGTATTTATAAAGAGACGGCAGCTCCGATCACGCTTTGCTCACACAGGCACGAAGCCGAAGGCACCAGCCTGAAGATGACGAGTCGGACCTCGTTGAAACGTTCAATCTTACACTGGAAAAGACCTGAATATACCAAAACTCGCATACCTCTACCCATGAAAATCTATGAAAACATGTGTGTGTGTGTGTGTGTGTGTGTGTGTGTAAAAATATGTCAGAAAGGACTCATCATTGCCTTCTTCTAGGATATGTATGTGTGTGTATACACATACATACATATACACAAACACACACACACACACATACACATACACATACATATACACATATTACACACACATACATACATACATACATACATACATGCTTTTTCCCAATTTAAGGCAAACTTCCAATTATTCATTGTTAAGGTTGACCTTATCCAAGTACCTATATAATTCACCTTCTTATTGTTGTGGAAAATACAACAGTTGAAACCACCTTCCTTCCAGCCTCTGGGTGTGTATCTTTATAAAATGGGAAAGTCCATTCCTGTGAAATTCACAAAAAAAAGAGGTGAAAATAGGAGGCCTATCATGAGAAAGATAGACCCATTTCTTCTTCAGTCAGTGAAAAATCCTGCTATTGGTTTCAGTGAAATATTGTAAGAGACCAGGTTAACACATTGAACTGGGGGAACTAGTTTGGGAGAAAGCTTTTTTATAGGATTATAATTTAAAGTTATAGTGGGAGATCAGATTGTCTTCAGAGCACCGAGACTGACATATATTGTCTTTTGATATTACAATAGGATGTCACTTATAGATATAGCTTACTTTATTGTCATTGCACATGGTACAACGAAACTAAATGCTGTCTTCAGTGTACATTATAACTATAAAAATAAAAACACAAACATGCATCCTTTACATTCTATATAATTGAAATTGAAAATCCGATATTGCACTCTACCATAGAATTCAATATGGTTATTGCCCTGGGATAGAAGCTGTTTTTCAATCTATTTCAGGGGTGGGTTCTACTTACCTTTACTACCGGTTCACAATGGGATCGTGGGGTATCCAAAAATGCATGCCTCGACATGTGTCTGCACACCCAGAAAATGTTACATAAATTATATGAAATTATGGAGTGGTCCAAGACAATTGTCCTGTAGATTTCCAGAAGGATATGTACAGTCAGTTTCATAGAAGTGATACTGGGGTGGGTTCTACTTACCTTTACTACTGGTTCGCAATGGGGCCGCGCGCGTGCTCTTCTGCACAACTGCAGAAGCTTATGCGCATGCGCAGGAGCATTTTGATGATGTCAGGGTCAGTGGGCGGAGCCTCCTGCCGGTTTTACTATCAGTTCTATAGAACTGGTGTGAACCGGAGGCAACCCACCACTGAAGTGATATCTTCTAAAGAGAGCAGGGTTCATTTCACTTCTCCACTCTAAGCAGCAAGCAGGAAATTAAGATGAATGAAAACCATCTTAAGGGCTTCTGAAGGTAATCAGTTGACACCAAGTCTCTGAAAACACAAGTGACAGGAATGGATGATGGATATGGAACAAGCAGTGGCAGAAATGGAAAGATTTACATACCAGATCTGTTGCAAACAAACGCAGAAGTTTTTCTTCTCAGGTTTCACAAAGTTTGTTGAAAAGAGAAACTGAGGCAGAGCACAAGTAAGAGCTCTAAAGACCGGAATAGAATGCCTAAAACATATTACTTCAGCATCTCTCTCCAAATCACTGTGAATCCAGACCCAAAATAAAACCATTCACTAATATTACAATCCTCCCTCCCTTCTCCATTCCTGCGCTGCTTTCCTTACACTGAGAGTTTGCAGAGAAGTGTATTTATTTATTTATTTATTTTATTAGATTTCTATACCGCCCTACTCCCGAAGGACTCGGGGCGGTGCACAGCCAAACAATAAAAACACATACATACAAAATTTAAAAATAGAATAAAATCAAAT